CCTGCTAAGCTCTATCTTTATAAGAGTTGGATCAGACCTAAAATGGAGTATTGTTGCCATATCTGCACTGGAGCTGCCCCATTCTCACTTCTCTAACTTTGACATAGTTCAAAAGCATTTACACATGTATACAGTGGTGAACTATCTTCATTCCACTGGTGAAAAGGAAGTTCCATTTGGAAACTTTATTCCCAAGGGCCACTGCTTTGTAGAACAGACTCCTGTGAGGTTGCTTTCCCAACCATTACAGTCTTAACCTCTTTAAGTCTAGAGTCAATCGGTATCTATCCTACATAACCTAATAATTCTTATATCCATATAAAAAACCCATTCATTAACCAACTACCTTGAGTGGCTTTTGGACCTTGTATAAGGCAAACAATAACATAAAAAATGCCTATGATAGATAGACAGAAAAATTTGGAAATAGAAAGATATCAAGTAAGAAGAAGAGACTGATATAGTTAGTTAGAAAACTGTTAGGCAAATTAATAACAAATTGGAAAAAAAAGGTTTTGTGTGATGTGTTTCATCCTTTAAGACTTTAGCTGACTAAAGTAATGGAATTATATATGTGCCAGAAGGAGTATTATAAAAATGCAAGCATTAGTTATAATTATATGCATACAGGAAATGCTAATAATGTTGGAACCAAGAAATTAAAACATTTTTTAGATGTATGTAGTCTAGCTACCATATAGTGATTTTCCAAGCATAGCTTGCATGTGACACAAGGCCAAAAGTAAGGGGCAACCAGTGAGGATTGAACTCACTACTCAGTTGTAATTGTTCTAGTGAGACAAGCTTGCTAACCATTACACCACCTAGTGGTGCCTGATCTATCTACTGTATATACTCGACTATAATGTGAATTTTTATGATCAGTTTTTTTATGCAAAAAAAAAAAAGCAGATTGTGCTATACATTGGTATTTTTTTGAAGAGATTAAAAATCTTGCATTTTTGGTGACACGTTGCACTATGCACAGGTAATTTTTTTGAAACATGTTGATAATATGCAGAAGTCATTTTACTCACAAATCAACCATGGTGAAATTCAAACACAGGTTTTCATGATCGGAAAGTGAACATTCTAACCACTCTACTATGCAACCATATAAGAAGTGTGACCATTGATGTCAATACCAATTGGTAATAGTGTGTTTCATGTTTTAATGCAATCTTCAGGCTAAGATTACATTCAAGCATGACTGTCACCACTCTGTGTTGATATCAGTGTCCACATTTTTCTTATTTACACATACTCTATCCGGGATATTGAGCACTTTTACCCAATAAATATAGCATACCATAAAATTATATTTTAACACACACACATACATTATGGATATGACATTTTGTAAAATATTTGATTTCTTGTATCATAATTTGATGAACTTTTTTTTGTACAGTATTTACATTAGTCGGACTATTGTCCTCATCTTTGTTGCCATATTTGTCACAAATGTTTGGCCGTTGTATGCTCCGCCTTCTTCAGGTGGTTGGAATTTTAACTGAACCCTTTATTTCGATCACTGGGGTAGACTGTTCTAGTTCCACGTGCCATGTTTGATGGATGTCAGTTATCAGTTATCTCCTGCTAATTTTCCCTCTGAAAGTTCTCCACTGCCTTAACCAGGTATTGAACTCACCTTCTTTGGGTCTGTCACTGGATCTAACCAACCCCTTTATCCACTGTGCCATGTGTCCTTGAGGACAGACTCTGAACTTTTTTTGTTTAAAAATGATGAAGAAGGGTTAAATTCAGTTTATTTAAAAAAAATGTCACCCCAACACAAAATTTCTAAAATCATATATAAGTATAATAGAGCTTTCTGGAGCCTTCTAGAACTTTATGAAAACTTCTAGAACTTGTTTTTGTTTATTTGTAGGTTTGTATGTTATGCTATAGCTATAAACTGTTAAATGTGTTAAAAATATATAAGTACTATCCAGTTACATCATTAGCAAATTGAAAAATAATGCTTCTGAAGTATTTTATTTCTTTTACCTTTATTGTGTTGATGGCAAAATCGAATTTTGAGTTTGGGGGTGACCTTTTTTAAGAAGTAAAACAAATGCCTTTTTCATTACTTTTGACCAAAAGTTCATCAATTTACGACACAGCAACATAGGGTTACAAAAAAGGTTATAACTCTAATATATACATATACGTTTCTTTATATATAGTGATAAGTTAATTTCAAAAGTATTTTCATCATGCTTTTTTTTGTTATTAAAAACCTGGGATATACTGAGAACTTTGGTTAGTGTTAGGTGTGTGCAAAAGTTTCCAGTGTTTTTTTTGTTATAGAAAGCAAACTAACAAAAAACCTGGATACCTACTGTGCATTCAATCTTGAGTTTTCCAGAAATAGGAAGTTGATAAATTTTGAACATACTTAATATATAAGGGAGATATCAAGATAAAAAAAAAGTGAGTAATAAAATTGTGCTTTCTTTCACAATTTTCAGTTATCAGAGCAAACTAATTCAATATTTACATATTTCTTGCTTTGAGTAATTCTTAATATAAACAAAGTTATCCAGGTGGAATAGGGAGAGGGGGAAGAAAAGGTAACGAATGTGAAGTATATAGGGAAGCGGCTAAGTGAATCTCTTAATTACTTTCATTTGCTAGATGCTTCATCACCTAACTGCATCATACCATCCTCTATCCCACACATAGTACTACTCCACCCTGATTTAATCTAGAGATTTAGCTGAGTGACCTTTGAAAGTTGTTCTGTTAGCAAAGGTGTGTATCATGTCTCTTCTGGTAAACATGATATTTTTAAAAACCAAATGCATTTCTCATTAGAGAAACAACACAAGACAGCTGAAGCTCCTTACATTAAAATATTAATAAACTATAATTCCTCTTAGCAATGTGTCTATTGCTTTAATGAAGGTACTACCACTGATTTGCTGAAAAATTAATATACCATGATAAAAAAAATGCCCTAAACTTAATAAATCAAAGTTTTATCATCAAAATTTTTGTTATTATTAAGAGGAAAGACCAGAGGATTTTTGATTATTAAATGATATTTTTTCAACCTTCTTAGAATGTTCAAAATTTTAGCCTGGTGTCCAAATATTACTATAGGAAATTTTATTTTGTGGTGAAAAACACATTGATATGAAAATTCTTGCAAAAATCAAATAATTGTTGGATTTTAATTGAACTTTCAGGACTTATTCACAAATGAATGAGATTATTTTAGAAATGTTTTTTTAGAAAATTTTGGTAAAAATATCTTCTTTTTTGTTTCACATCTGTTACCTCCCACTTAATTAATTTTATGAAATTTTGAGAAATTAAATTTTGTGTCACTTAATGACTTGGAGAATTTAAATAAATCATTAATTTTTATTTGTAAAATAGGAACATCAGTTACCGAAAATCTGCACTGAATCATAAAATAAAAAATGCAATAAAACTTAGACATTATTTAATTAGAAAAGATTTTAATTGCTTTTATGAATAACATATGCTTTAAGAAAAAAAAATTCAATGAATAATGAATTTTTACAAGAATTGATTTCATTTTTTAAAAATATTAATTAGAATAATTTGTAAAGTTTTAAATCTTTTAAATTTCTATATTACATTGGGCCAGTTAGATGATATTGTTATTAAGTCAAAGCTATATTTACTAATCATAAATGGAAAAGCTTAGTACAATTCATTGAATACCAATATTTCAAAAAGAATTTTGAAATTTTTTTGTGTATAAACGTGCTGATTTTTGTAAATATGGACGTCCATACATAATATTGTCAACAAATAAGTATGATAACTATAGTAAATTTAAAGCCAAAGTACCTAAAATTCAATAAAACATTGGATTATGAAGAATATTCTCTTAAATTTTTAAGATCAATGAGTAGTAAATTATTTTTTTAAAAAAAAGTCACTGATGTTATATTCCTCATCTAATGTAGAAAAAACATTAGATAAACTTCTGTCTTTCATTCAAGTTTTCAACACCAAAAATAAACAGCTACCGCTATGTTAAAAATGCATTTCTGTGATATTTTAAAGTAAGTAATATTGGTTTCAAATCAGAATAATTAAATTTTAAATCAGGAAATAATCCACAAATAAAATTTCAGAAAAGTATATTTTATTTTTGAATGATTTTTTTAATAAATTATATTGTGATAGCAGATGTCTAAAACTGATGCTAAAATTGGGAATGTTATTGATATCAAAACAAAACCTCCTTCCAGACAATTTAAATTAGTTTTGAAATGCAGCAAAGTATTTTGCTTATTGGAAATATTAACTTTAATCTATTAGCTTGAAATTAAAACTAAAATAAAAGCTTCTAGAAAGATTTTTCCTTTTTAAAAATTCATTTTAAACCTTAGGTGTCACAAATATTTGGAAGTACCTACTTTAATGAATAAAAGAGAAATACAAGAACCAACACAATACAAGAATTGTGGATATTTGATGAAAAGAGCCAGCTTTATGTAAAAAATAAGAACAGTCTTCATTTTAAAAGGCAGCATTATACAATTTTTTTTTACAGTAAATTTCAGCCAATACAAGGCTCAAGAACCACTAAAAGGTTACTGTTAAAATGGTAATGATGAATGAATGTGATATAAATGAAAAAGGTGGTGGTAGGAAGTGAAGATTATGAGGATAAGGAGGACAGATAATGATTGACCCTTGACTTGAAGAGGTTAAGACTTAAGGGTTTAGGATTAATTGATTGATTTTTAAAATTTTTTTTTACAGCTTATCAACCTTTTGCAGGTTTTTTAAAGCCAGAAATATTTTTAGATTGTAAGACATTTTTGGAGATTATAATGATTTACTGATACAAACATTACTAATTAACCCATAGCTGGGGATGGAAGAAGTAGATTCATACCTTTCCCAAGAGTATTTACAAGTGAATATAATGAACCTGACAGAAATTAGAACATGGCTCTCCGATTTGCAATTCTGAGCCATTATCCATTACACCACCTGCACATCCAAACTTACAGCACCTTGTATTCCCAAGTGGTCACCCATCTAAATACTAACCAGGCTTGACATTGCTTAATTTCTGTGATTGTATGAGAACTGGTGTTTCAATGTGATATGACTGTAAACTTTAAGTGTTCAAGAAAGCACCTACATAGGTGTCTGTTCCATGAAGTGGCAGTTCTTGGACAAAAGCTGTTTGAGTAGAATTTTCTCCTTGCATTTGGAATATGGGGAAAATGAAAGTGATTTGACACTATGAAAGTAGCATGTAAAACTGTAAAGACCTGAACTGGTGAAAAAGAGTAGGTCCCTGCTGATCTGTTGTTAAGTTACATCTAGGTTCTTGAGATATTCAAAATGGCTGAATATTTAACAGGAGTAGATAGGTTCACCTATTGCCTGGTTCACACTCCTCTTAAATCTTCTGAACAGGAGTAGAGCTCTATCCCTTGTTTTTTGTTTAGGATTGGGTTTCTAATTTCTTCTACGGTAGTCATGGCCAAACTTTTTGAACAGTGGGCTGCATGAGGTACAGTACATTATATGGCGGGTCACATTACTAAAAGAATTAAGGTATTTTTTCTTTTATTAAAGACACTGTGGCCATTTTTCCAACAAAAGTATCTGCCTTAGAAATGGTTAAAAGTTGATTTTTTTCTTCTTTGAACAAAAAAATTCCTTGTATAATTAAAAAAAATTGAAGTCTTGGTATAATATTTTCACTGATGACAATGTGATTAACACACATTGCTGGAAATGATTTGTTTCTAATTGAGTAGACAAAAATATTTGTTAAAAAAAGGAAAATTTATCATTGACATTTCCTGTTTTTGAAGCAAAAGATGTTTACATGTATGATCTACCTTAGTGAAAATTGCCAATGGTTTAAATTGCTGATGTTACCTTTGACAAAATGTTACAAAATTCAAGAAACATTGTACTTAATCATTGTTTATGTCTGTGGTTATGCATGAGAATGTGCAAATGAGAACAAAAAGAAGCAAACAACATTTTAATGTTATTTTCCACATGAAATTAGGTGTACCATTCAGAAAGCCAATGTGGCCTGTGGGCTGCAATTTGACCATGACTGTTCTAAGGCCTATTCCTTCTCTTTCACTTCCAGTGGTCCCTTGCATCTTGGTGGCATTATCTTCTTGTTTCGATTGGTGCCTCTCATTCTATCTAACTTGAGTGGCTCTTGGGCCTTGTACCAAGTGAACATCATTGTAAAAAAAAAATTCTTGGGAAATGTGTGAGGGTGAGGGAGAGAACAGAAATGAATGGGTCAGCTAGATACCCATCCTCTCTATATAGTGGCTTGTCTCTTTGGTTAAATCATGTTATGCCAAGGAATATGGGATTGGGAAGGTTCGGATAGATCCCAAAAGGTCTTGAGTTCTGTACTGTTGCCACCCTACTGCTCATTTTAAATTTTATATGAAAACTTAGGTGAAGACACTTTATCACTGTCAAGATCCCACACCCACAGTGTTCAAACCACCCTACTCCATTTGGGAATACAAAGTATGGTAAGTTCTGGAATTCTCATTCTGCCATTTTTGTTTAGCATGGAGATTCTGTACCACTCTTATATGATATTGACTTTACCCAATCAGCCACCAATTGGATGTTTTTTCTACTATATTCCTTGTGTAATGTTATGTTAGTAATATCTCAAAAGAATATGAGACTAAGTTTTTTATACTTAAAATAATTGTTTTTTTCACTTCTAGACTGTCAAATCAATCAAGGATATGTGGCTTTTTGTTTTCCTTCAAATATTCAATATTCTTCTTGAGAAAATATAAAGAATTCTGTTTTCTCCCTCATCGGTTGAGTAATTATATAATTTTTTGTCATCTGATTGTATTTTGTGTGTATATTCTAAGTTTAGTTGGGTTCACTTCCTTGTTTATGTTGGTGCATCTATTAACATTTTTGTGGCCCAATTCTGTTTGGTTGCTTTGAGGTCACCTTCTATGTTAACCCTTGAGGTAAGTAGGATTTCTGAAATTCTGAGATGACACCCAGTAGAAAATTTACTTTGGTATTATTAAGGTGAACCCAGTACATATTGGGGTCACCACAGACCAACTCTTCTTATATCAAAGGTTCCTGATGGACATTAAATTTGTTTTCTGATATTTCCTGTTATGAATCATACATTACATGTTGAACCATTTCTTTATCTGATTTTGTTTCTTTTTCTGCTGCACTTACTGCATCAATAAATAATTTGACACAAATAATCTCCTCCCCAGCAGGATTATAATAAATAAGATATTATATAGCCAAGAAAATTAAAATGAACCCAGTTCACTCAATTAACAAAATAAGAAAACAAATAATATATATGACTTGATATATTATATATAAAACTTTGATGGCATGTATGGCTGAATGGTTAAAACATTAGCATTTCCCCTATGATATTCAGGTTTGTATCTCATTATGGTCAATTAGTCAAGAAGGTGACTTAGATATTATCATTCTAGTGAGATAGAAGTTCTTTAACTTTAGTTGCCAATCTATCTTGGCAATATTGTTCTGATGAGCTTTCCTCTTTGGTACCTAGACTTTATGAATTTAAATGCACTACTAGATTGGTGGCAATGTCTCATCATTTTACAGTTGAAATGGCTAAATGTAACCGTAAGTTCTATGCTAACAGTTTCTTCTCTCACACCTCGACTACGGAATTGTCTTCCAGCTTCTTGTTTTCCAGTCAACTTTGATCTTCAAAAGTTTAAATGCAATGTCAATTGTTATTTCCATCTTCTTTCCAGTTTTTTATTGTTCTCCTTAATAATGTTTTCCTTTTTTTCATATTCTCCCACACTCAGTAACCTTGCATCTTAGTAGCTTTAATGTCTTGCTTGGGGTGAAATGATGAAAAAGAAAAACAAAACAAAAACAAAACAAACACGTATCCCACAGCAACCTGGCTACTTGCATGTATGCATCAACTTGAAAAACTGACATGACTGAAATTCTTAAAAATGAAAATTATGTGAGTTTGCAATCTGCCATAGACAGAAATATAGCACAACATAAAGATTTGAAATTGGAAGCTCTCATCATAATAAATATTTTGCTGAATGTTTTTTTGTATTTTCTAAAATCCCAAGATAGGTCATTGTCATCATTCCATTTTCATTTTTATTCATTTGTTTTACTTGTTTATATCTTTGCATTTCACCTGAAGCATTCCATGGCTTTCCTTGGATGTATACTTCATCTTGTGGTATTTTCTTCTTCTTTTGTAAAGACAGTTTCAGACTATAGCATTAAAGATTCCTTCACACAACAGCAATCTATGAGACTACACATATGCTAATTTTCCCAGCATATCTACAAAAGACTGTCAAGATCATTTCTCACTTACAGAAGATCCTTGTGGTTGTTTTTGCTTCACTGAGCACAGATACACACACGACAGTGAATTCTATATTGAGTCAGCTTATACAGCTGTACATGCCACCCCAAACACCCAACATACTCTCCAGTAAGGTTACATTATTATTTAGCAGATAAATTTCCAATTAGGATCCAATCTATTAGGACAGGGGCTTGGGTTATGGAGTCACCACTGATTTATATACATGGTTGGCACGTTCATAATTTGGTAGGGTTAACCCAAAAATGTACTTGCTGATATAAAAAGCAACAATAATAAGATTAGGCTAGTAATTATTTCACCCAAGCAAGGCAGTAATGTACTAAGAACCCACAGGTTACTGAGTTTTAAGGAATGAGGAGACTTTAGTAAGGAGAAAGGACTTTAAAAGAATACAATTCAGAAGATGGCAACTGATGTTGAATTTAAATTTTTGAAGACTGTAAGCAGCTGGGAAGCCAGAAACTGAAAGAGAGTTTCATGGGAATGACGTGTCAGAAAAGAAGCTATTAGAATAGAAGTTACAGTTACATCTAGTTATTTCAACACTAAAACAATGAGACCTATTAGCCAATCTAGTAGTACATTTAAATTCATGTGGTCAAGGTACCAAGGAGGAGATTTCATTAGAACAACTGCCATGAAAATATTTATAAAAATGACAGAGGGAAATCATTTCATGGCAGCTGGAAAGTGACTGAAGTCAAGATGCCAGGTCAGGACCAATAACATTAGAGACTCTTCTTTGGATTTTGTTGAAAATTTCAAGATATACAGCAGGAGCACCAGACCAGATATGGCAGAAATATTCAATGCATGGATGAATGGTAAATTTATAAAGGTGCAAGATGGATTCTAGCAAGAAAAATTGTCTGGCACAACACAGTGAACTAACATTCCTAGCAGCAGACCTAGTAATTGATCACTCCATTTGAAAGTTGTGAGTTGAAAATGTGAGGCCAAGAAGGCACAATGAGTTGCTCTCCTGGAAGTTAGCATCAGTCATGTTGAGAAAAGGCAAAATGATTCTTTATCATGATTAAAATATAGCAGTTTCTTGCCCCAGTTAACAACTGATTGGGGGATTATTTTTTGAGATCAGCTTCCATTTTTATTTTCTTGGGCCTATTTGACTTGCTATTAAGATGTGAGTAAATAGTTGTGTCATTAGCATAGATATTGAATTGGGAACAAATGATATGAGGAAGTTTGTTGATGAAGTGTAATGCAAATGGTGCTTATTCTTGCATCTGAAATAATTAGGCCTGGTTGGCTATTTAAATTTTCATGTTTTTTTCTGAACCTATATACAGTTATTCAAGATTTCTGCTTTCATCCAACAAGGCTGTTTATTCCAACTTATCCCTCCTTTCTTGTTCTAAAACAAATTAATTTTGAATGAATAATTTTCCAACAAGCCCTTTTATTCCAACTTACTCTTCTAAACTCTTGTTCTATGTGCCATGCCCTTTCAGGATATTGGCAATAATGGCTCCCCACAATTTCCTGTCCATTTTGTTTCTTTATCTCTCTTAAACCTTGTTTTGCCATCCATTTACTCAATTTCACCAGGTATGTTATGCATTGTTTTCCTCTATCTCACCTTCATTTGTCCTCTGAGTATCAAATTTTTCAATCCCTCTTATGATTATGTTCCTTAGAAATTTCAACTGTTTCTGCCTGATGTTAAGTATAAATGTCCTTTTTGTTTCTATTTTCTCT